TAGGATTTATAATCTTTTAAAATCCACCAAAATCTTAGTTGAGGACACCCCCTAATTAGTGCATCACAAAAAAAAAATAATAATAATAATAAAAGAGAGAGAGAGAACTAACTAAGTGGATACTTTTAGCCCCTGTTTGGGCTCAATGTTAATTTACTGCATTTTTTCTTTCTTCATGTTCAATCATATTTTTTAATAAAATAATATTACACGGAAATTCAAAAATATTTTTTACTTTTTAACCACATATCTCTAAAAAAATTGCTATTTCGATTTTTTTTTTTTCAAAACCTCAATAAAATGGAGTCCAAAGATCTCAAAAATGTGTTATTATAACATTTTAATTGTATTAAATATTTAAATGTTCTTAACTTACACTCATTGTTACATTTATGAACCTTTTTTTTACAACCGAGCTGGGTGTACCGGTCAGGGTGACAAACACCCTGACCGGCTCCTCACATCGGGGGGGCCCCCACATTTTTTTTCCCAATTTTTTATTTATGTGGGGTCGGCTCATGTGAGAGTNTTTTTGTACAAGTAGCTTTATTGTTTTTTTTATCACATTCTTATCCTTGATCTTTTAATAATTAGCAAAACTTACTTTTAATATTGTTTTCGTGCAATAATATTGGTACATTAAAACACGAGATAAATAAATATTAGTAGCAATTATGTCTCTATTTGACAACTATTATTTTTAAAGTTTTTTTTTTACATATTTATTTTCAGTCATACATTCACACAATAAAATATTATCCACGTAAATTCAAAATTTTTCCATACTTCTTAACCAAATAATGATTGTCAAACATGTTATTTTTTTAATTCAAAAATACTAGGAGCAAATATTTTTTTTTACTCCTTAATGGAATTTTTGCACAGGGGTTGTCTCGATTGTTCAGGAACAAGATTTTCTAGTTAATGCGATGAAAAGGAAATTGAGAATGTAAGTCCGATAATTAATAAAGACTATGAACGTTATATGCAATTAAAATGTGATGCGACCATCTTAAGGATTCAATCAAGACTAATAAAATTTATTTTTATAAAAATATATTCATTTATCGAATATTCTAAAAAGAAAAAAGAAAAATAGGTAATGAAGTCGGGCAGTCGGCTTATGGGAGGAGCCGACGTGGCAACTTCTGCAGCTCTGTGTCACGTGGAAAAGAATCTAATGTCACGTGCTGAAGCGACATCACCAATGCAATGCGCAACCAAAATCTAATCCGAAATCTATCTGAAACCATAACTGCTCTCTCTCTCTCTCTCTCTCTCTCCTCTCTTCCATTTATTTTAATTCTCATCCTTACCCAATCTAATAAATATGAATAATTAATTCATAATAACTTTAATTTGGACTCAATTAATTAGGGATGACAATGCAATTATCTGAAATAAAATATATCTATTTTTTTCATGAATTATTTATTTATATTTCGAAAAATTTTAATTAAAAGTTTAAAAAATAAAATAAAAATACGGAAACGATACATTTTACTATCTCTGCACCAATATTAAACTCATGTTTGGTACCACTAAAAAAAATTGATTAAAATTTAAATCAAAATCAACAATTAATTTTAACAGATGAAAATATATTAAAAATCTGATTTTAATTTCTACCAAATATCTGCTAAATAAAAATTTAAATGCTTATAAAAATATTATCGAAGGGTTAACTTTTCTTCATGGATTTGGGTAAAAAAAAAAAAATAAGGATTTGTTTGGCTCATATTTATAAATACTATTCACTCATTTTGATCAG